CAGAAGAAAGTCTGAAAAGCACTCTGAATCATAGGCCACATACCACCTCTGCTTTGGTGTGCAATATACCACTGAGAAGGAAATAAAACGACCTCACTTGCTACCACACTAAATAAACTAGAGATCTGCATGACCTATTGTCTCCAAATCCAGGCAGTGCTAAAAGCAGAAAATCCTAGCATCTTTTTCATCCCCTGGTCTTACGCACACTGCTCTTCCTAGACCTCTGCCTATTTCCAGTTACTCCTGCTCGTGATTTTAATAAAGTATATTTAAGTTGAAATACATATACTAGAGTTCTCAGTTAAATAACTTTGTGTCTTACAGTAAACACATACACTACAATCTGAACATGGCAAGTCATTGTTGACAGCTTCTATACTTTCCTGATCTGAAAAAGTATGAGTATTTTCAGTACTGTAGTGTTCATTATTTATGCATTGAGTCAAAGCTGTAGAACTTAATTATCAGGGCATAGGAGGAAATCTCTGAGCCTTGCATCAAAATCCACTGAACAGAAAAGGTCATCTTTGCAGCAATGAATGTCAGTTCACCTTTACCGAGGTGAGTAAAAGTACCGATGTGTAGAAAAATCCAGTGAGAGTTGTATTTGAAATCAAAAGTAGAAAGTTTAAAAAATTGTGGCTTATTTAGAGCTGACACATCACAACCATAAATATAGGATTTTTCCACCTCATAAACTGTAGTTTGGTAGGAAACATCTGCCTGCATTGATCTAAACCAAAATACTCAAGATGCACACACATTGTTTCTTAGGTACAAGTGCATTCAGCCTGTATTCTCACCCTATTTTGCTCTTTCCAAGAGCTCTAGAATGTCAGATATGGCTGTAACATTATGGGAAAGCATGAGTAAAAATAAGGAAGATGCAGGTAACTAACCATAAACTCAAAAGATTAGCTCAGACAACAAGCAGCCATTATTACTATCTCCACCCTTCCTACTGAAGATCAGTAAGTATGACTTATTAATGTAAGGACATAAAGAATCATAAAGTCATAAACTCTAATATAAATTAATATCTGCATCCAAACTTTGGATTATTAAAAGCATTGCAATACAAACTCCGGAGATCACAAATCTGTGTTACTAAATAGAAATCACACAGGTTCTGGTATTGTCAACCGCCTCAGAACTAAAACTCTTAGGGTATTCTAGACTTTCAAGGTGGTCTCCCAACAACCGTTCCCAATTAAAAAAAAAAAAGGGAAGAATAAGCATTTTTATGTCTTGCCAGACCTTTGCACAGAATATAATACAATGTTGTTGCATGTAGCCCTGTGTAACGAAAACAGTATAGTGCTAAGCACGTTACTCCCTAAGTACATTTCATTTTTCAGGTTTTTTTTTATTTTCATTCCTTTGATCACTGAGTCTCATCAGCTGTAACTACTTACCAAAGGAAGTGAAATAGGAGATATCATGCTTTTCAACTGTCTGCTAGAACATGGAATAAAACCATAGATATGTAAATATCCCCCCTCCTGTCTGACAGTCTTTGGTCTTGATTAATATTTAACATTCTTGCAGATTTAGTCAATGAAAAGCCAAAGCAGCATTCCTAAATTTGCTGTCAGTAACCAGAATAAACAGAAATGTACAGATTAAAAGCTATATTATAGATCTCGTCCACCTTTATTTCCCCTCAAACTCTCATATAATCCGTTGTACAAACCATACATACAAAACTTTATAAAATGGCAGGATCTGAGTTCATGTCATTTAGCCTGTAACAAGGCTAGATGACAAAAATCTGTGATGCTGTAAGACAACCAGGTAGCCCTTGACTATTCTCAGGCAAACCTGGCTTTTTTTCTTCTATTAGCCTTCACTTTTCCAATGAGAAACAAAAGGGAAAATTGCAATGTTATAACTCTATTTAGAGAATAGCATTGATACAAACCAGGTTTCTTAGTGAACTGGGCAGCCCCAAGCATACAGTCCCCCAAGGCAGTGGTCAGGGTGAATTCACACCAACAGTTATCAGTTTTAGACATACTTAAAATACCTACACTAATACTAATCCTTTTGTTTTGCTTCACTACTTTAACACGATATATCATAAATTTAATTAGGTGAGTGACGCCTGAACTGATGTATTTATATTTCAAAAAGCCTGTAGATGGAAAAGGAACAAGCCAAAGTTAATTGAGGTGAGATTTCTTATAACTACTCATGAGAAGTTTTAGAACAAAGTACTCTCAAGTGATTTATTGTTCCAACCAGTGTTTCTTCAAAATGAGCCTTCAGCATAGAGTAATGGCCCAGAGTGATAACAAAGTCAAATGTAAAAAATCATAAGACCTATAAATACATGAAATAATTTGATACTTCTTTAATTGAAAATACAATCTCTGCTTGGATTTTGCATTAAACCAATTCAGTTTTTAATGAATAATGCCTAAAGATTGCCTAGTTACCTGAAGAACAAGATAAGTGAAATATTAAGTGCTCACTATTGAGTCCCAAATATACTTTATTTCAGTCTTGATCTCTCTCCAGATGTACTAAAACCGCTAAACTTAATCCATTTGTGCTGTGTGAAATCAAAATAGTTGATCATGTCTGGAATGGATTGTCTCTCTCTCCATCAGCCTTTCTGACGAGGTATGTCATAAGGAGAGAACAGCAAAAACTGGACCTTACGTGCAACATCATCACTTAGTGGCATGTGGATATTTTATTAAAAGCTGCAGCAAATTAGGTCTTCACTGACACAGCAATTCTGTTGGAAAACTTGTACACCATATTGCCAGTACACTGCGTAAGCCACTAATGTGAAAAAGCTTATCTTCTGTATCAGACAGACTGACACAAAACAAAACTTCATCTGTCAGTGATGGAAAGAAGTAGATCCTAAAACATTCCTCCTTTTAAGAAAGGGGGAAAAAAAGAGAAAGAAAGTAGTGAGCAATGAAACTATTTAAAACTACCAGCTACTATCAGCCAAAAAGGGTGCAGTTTAGCTAAACAGATAAAATGTTGCTTAAAGACAGTCTCATGGGCAAAATATAACACACAAAAACGTGTATTTCACACTCCCAAACTAAGAACGTGTTCCACAGTGCAGCTGTCTTTCAGACACTGCAAGTCATGCCAAATCAAACCAAAAAGTAATAACCCAGTTTAAATTTGTAGGATATTGAAGCAGCAGAAATGCTTAAGTAGCATAATGATGAAAGAACATTAAATCTCTCCAAATTGATCAGAAACAGGAAGTCCGCAAAGGAATTTGCAAGTCCGAGAAAAAAAACAAGTATGAAAGGAGCCTTTGAGAATTTGAAGGTGGCATCACAAAAGTCAAATTAATTATTTGTTTCTGATACACAGCTTTCCAAAAGCTTTCAATGACTAGGAATGAATGAACAAGGACTTGCTTGAAACATTTTAGAAAAAATATTGTGAATAAGGACCAAGTCATTAGGATTTAATAGTACTTTTTATCACCAACTGCACAGCATGAAGTTGAAGAATAGTAATGTCTCAAAAAATCTTGACAAGTCCCTGAAGGAGTCAGTACCTAAGCACAGAGCATGACTCAAAGCAGCATTATTTTCAGGCTTCAGATAGGTCCTTCAAGGGCATATTTTTTTTGGTTTTAGCATCAAAAAAAAGCAGAACGCTGGCTGCAGATCCCAAAAGATTTCAATTCTGACAAGATCCTTGTGGACAGAGCAGAAGATGGAACTTAATGCCACTTAATGCATGCCAAATAAATCTGGAAAGGATTTCCAACCCCAATTTTAAGATAGTTTCTGATTCCTTCAGAAAGTTCTGGAAGTGTAGACAGCTCACTGTCTCACAGCTCACTACTCATCATGCCAAGCTATCAAATGTAAACAAACTTACTGGTTAAGGAAAACAAGAATGAGGATTTAAAAATTAGTCTATCCTGAATACTATCAATTAACGTTGAACCTGAGAGAAGCAATATTTAGAAGTCCTGCACAGGGCACATATAAAACCACAATCACATAACGCAAGACCAAATAGACTAAAACCTAGTCCTTGAGCATGACTGCAGGGGACACAGGTCTATATAACAACTCACAAGACTCGCAGGAAAATGATTCATTGTTTCTCATAGCAGGATCTAGACAGTTGTCAGACAGGTTTAATATAATGAAGAGAAAATGCTCCTGTATACCCTTCAAATTCAGTTTTGTCTTTTAATAAAATGCAAGTCCACAGAAAAAGAAGCAGACTTAAGTAAGCCTAGCAGGCCACTAACAGAGGAAATCACTACTCACTCTTCAGTGCATGTTTACATAAAGATAACAACTCAGTGGGGAATAAATCTGACTCTGTGTGCGTATACATATACATGTTTGGTCCTAAATCCACACTAACTCACTTTCCTGTGTAGGCAGTGGGGAGCACCTGACAGCTACTTCTGACTGTATTTTGTATTCTTGCTTGTGCATTCTAAGGAAAATTGGCTAGTAATACAAAGCATTTAATCATTTTAGGTAAAGACCTACCACTGAGGAAAATGTTTTTAATGTTTACTGAGGCATAAGCAACTGAAAAGCACATACAAGCTTCCAATTGGTCAACAGTATTGAACTTGTTCTTCAAGGACTTTCCCGCTGATTGTGCTTTACATGGAATACTGCAACATTTTCCTTTTTGCTCATTTAAAATATGCAAGTAATGGGATTCTTGCTAACTTGTTCTTTACAGCTTGAGATAATCCTTTTGTAAAGAACATGCAACACATCCAGCCTAATGAAATAACTCAGGAGTTAGCTGGTTGATCTTAGTGCTTTTGTGTTATAAAATAATTCAGAAAATCCAGACATTAAGAATAAAATATTGTGGGCCATTTTCAATGGATTTGTAAATTTAAGATTAATTTTATCAAGTTTGCACACAGCAAGAGGTTATTTCTGTGTGGCAGCACAAAAGTGTTTACATCCATGAAACAAAGCCTTCACACAGGAAGTACCTCAACAAGAAAACCTTCAGAACACACAAAATTCTGGTAGCATACTCACATTTTATTTCAATTGTTCCACAAAGACAGTAATAAATTACAAAAGTTTTTGTTAAGAAATCTGTTTTGACAAATGGTAAAGTTCCTGTTTAAATATGATCATTGAAGACATGTAGTTTTAGACATTGCTTATCTCAATTCCACTTCCAAGACGATACATTGAAGGTGATAAGTGGAGTCATCTCATATGAAGTCAGAAATCAGCCACTCAGAAAATCATAAGCTGAAGTTTAATATCAGTTCAAGTCCCTGGTACATTCTAGTTTCCTCCCTGTAAAAGAAGTTCTATTTAATTTGCAGTCGGCATCATGCACACAGGAAAGGGGTGACTGCCCTAAGGTTGAGCTATATGAACCTTCTACATGACACTAACTTTCAAGTCAGAGGCATTTTTCAATACAAATTACTTCCTTTGTACAGGAAGGGATTTTCTTTTCTCATACCATTAGTATGGATTCCATTCCAGAGGACCAGCCTTATTAGAATAAATACATCCAATAACTACCCAAAGCTTTCCTTAGATTTTTTTGCTATTTAGATTGGCTAAATCTATATAAAGTTTTAACAGCTACCACACAGGTTTTCCATTAGTTCAAACTATTTTGTTTTGTTTTCCAGTGAGGAATAAATTAAAACTCCTTTAGATATAGAAGGCAATGCATTCACTAACATCTGATAATCCTTTTCACATTACATACCTGGAGACCAAACAATTTACAAGAAACTCTTCATTCAAGACATTCATTGCATAGGTTCACAAAGAACCAGATTTGAGAAACCTGAAAAAGATTTACACAAAATTGATATTAAGACTCAGATAATATAACCAAATACATTTCAAAATCTTCCTACAAGCTATTAATAAAGTTGATTTAGTAGCTTCATGAAGTTTAGTAGTTTCATAAATGTGTTCCTCCCAAGCACAATCCAAAGAAGGGTTTCAACCTCACCTCTGGGTTTGCAGGAGAACTCTTATACCCCTCTGTGTTGGCCACTTAAGACACTGCCAGACTTAAGAGGGCAAAGCATAAAAGGGGAGTAGATTACACTATATTATATTGGTTTCTTATTAACTAAGATGATCTGAATTTACCATTTACTCAAAAGAGATATTACAATTTGCTTGAAATTTGTGAATTATCAAAGAGCAAGATTTAAAATTATCTGCAATTGTCATTAAACTAGAGCACACTTACCTTCCAGTAGAAGGTATTATTTATTCCTAAGAAGCCCTGAGCATTACTTCACATTTAGGTCTGATTATCCATGTCTAGAATATTTCTTGCATGACGTTGCTAAGTCGGGCCTCTAAACAACACACAAAACAATCAATAAGATTATAGTAAAATTATTAGTGTTTAATTAGACTTTCTCAAAGCCATATTATACGGAGTTGCTACTATGTTGGGTTATACTGTTACAGTAATTTTCTACAAAGTTGCAGGGGTTGTTTACATGAAGCTTATTATCAAATCAAAAGTAATCAGTTTTTTAATCTGTCAAGTTGTTTTCATTAGCCTGTTTAAAATACATAAAATGTATTTTTAATAACTTTTAAAATATACTACTAATCAGAAACAATGGAAAATTTATTAAGCCCAAATTCCTTTTTGTGCTGACGCTACCCCGAGGCTATAAATGTTCAGAGTAGACTGTCTTCACCAGTGAATTTATTGCTACCCTGTGTCTACTTACATATATATACACAGTTTGTAACAAGTTATACACAGAGCTCAACCAAGAGGTATCAAAAGACACTGTTACAGATGTACTAGAAGACTGGAAAGAAAGCCCAAGCAATCAGGGACTTCTTTGTTTGAAGCTATTATTATTAGAGTCTAAGTGCCTACAGCATTTAATACTCTAAACACTGCAGGGTCTAAGTGTAATATTCTTGATGCACCCTATAAAAATACAAAACCACTGCAGTGAATTCAGATTCAGGGTCTGTGCAGCTCAATACCTGCAATTCAAAGAACAGAAGGGTGCAAATGAACACAAACACTTTCTTGTCTCAGAGATACAGGGCAGCATCCCCATAAATAAGTTTGTCTTTAAAAAGCGTCGGGATTTAAAGCCTATTGAGGTCAGAAGCCTTTTCTAACCAACCCCAGGCTGTAGGAGAGCGGATGAGGTCGGTGTGCCCCTCACCCATGGGCGTCCAAATGCGTGGCCACACATCTCCAGCGCTTCCCCGGGCCCAGATCCGCCGCGCCCGGCCTCCTGCCCGCCGGGGACATTGTAAGGACTCGCCGGTACCTCGGGACACACTGCGGAGGGAGAGAAGCGTCAGCCTGGGACAGTGAGGGGGCCGCGGAGAGGGAGAGAGGGGCCGCTTGTGCCTCACGACAGGATGCAGGGCGGAGAGGAGGGCTCCGCACTGGGTTTTTGTGAGGGAGAGCTGCTCTATCCCCCTGTGTTGACTCGCCGGAGCACTGCCAAGCTCCGAGAGGGCAAGATGTGAATGGAAGGTGGTGCAGGTCCCGCAGGTCCCGCATCCCCCTGCTCCCCTCCCCCCCTCCCCCAGCCCGTCCTTGTGGAGCGAGCGGCCATCGCGGCCTTACCGCTCCGGAGGCCTGCAGAGAGAGAGAAACCGCCGCTCCCCACGTGGCCTTAAATACCACCCAGCGCTCCCGCGAGACCCCGCGCGGCGCACACCTCCGCTGTCTATTGGCGGGGCTGACGCGCGTGACCCCGCGCGCCGCGGGGCGGTGCCGGTGAAGGCCGCAGCTCGCAGCCCCCGAGGGCAGAGAGCCCCGCGGGGGCGGGGTGAGGGGGCCGCCCGAGGGGGCCGCCCGCTTCCGCCTCTGCGAGGAGCGCTCCGGTCGCTCAGCCGCGCTCCCCACGGCGCTCAGTCGGGCGAAGCCCTAACGGGTCATAACGGGGCTTTCGTCGGGACGTGATCGTCCGCCCTTGCCCGGGCCGAGCTCTGCGTGCTCGGAGGTCTCTAGCACAGGAAAACAAAAGCGTGTTCGGTGAGAAGTAGCAGCTGTGTAGCGGTTTTGAGGCAATAAATACAGCTGATCTCTGTCTAAACTCCCGTCTAAGCCCTGCTTAGGAGGCTTAAGAGCTGTCTGTGAGGATGGCGAGGTAAAGCCTCGAGCCTCGCTAATGCCCCTGGCAGAGCAGAAGCAGCTCTCTCCGGGGCTGCAGGTCACGGGTGACACGGTGGCACCAGGCCTGTCCTGCAAGGCAGCGCTCAGCGTGGGTGCAGAGCACTGCTGCTCTGCCCCAGCTAAAATGAGCTGCCTGGCTGGGGATGCTGCTGAGAGGGCTTGGGGTGAGCATGAGCAGATGAGCATGAACTGGGAATTAGTAATTTGTAACACAGAGACTTCATATAGAACGATAGAATATACTGAATTGGAAAGGACTCATCAGGATCATCAAGTCCAACCCCTGACCTGGCGCAGGACACCCCAAGAATCACACTGTGTGCCTGAGAGCATTGTCCAAACCGAATTGAATGAAAGTCCCTGCTTCACAAAAAAGTGTATGTATTGCTGAAAAAGGTGTATATATTGATGATAATTCATAGATTCCTGTCTTGGTGAGAAACCGAGATGTCTTGGCTTACACCGAGTTCCTATCAGCACAGCTCCTCTAAGTGTGTGGAAAGAAAGTAACAGACGGCCCACTGTCTTTAATCAGGACCCTGCATTTAAACTACCCTCAGCAGATCTAAACCAACATGATTCATCCTGAAACAGTCACATAGTTGCAACCAAGGGATGGTTCTAGAAATTGTTTCTTACCGCGTCTAGTTACTTCTGTCTAATTCTTGATACTAGAAACATTGTTGCAGTTGTAGTCCCTGTGCCCTTTATTGTCAGGAGGTCAGGATGCAAAAGTTGTCTCAGGACTCTAGGTAAATCAGTGTCTGGAGATGAATTTGTGAGACACATAGTTCCAGGTTATTTTAAGTGGGGTTCTCTGCAACGACCATTTTGTACCACCAGATACCTGAATCAGATCAGTATTTTTTATAATGTAACAAAAAAAAAATGGTATTCAACCTTTAAATTTTTACCACTTGTGTCAGTGGGATTTATGTCAAGTTTAGTTTCTTCTTTTCCAGTACAGAATGTAAACTGACACTTCTGTTAGCACAGCAAACCAGTGATCAGTATCCATGCCAGGTGAGCATTTTAATCATTCACGTAATCCTACACCTTTTTCTTGCCCTGTACAAGCTTTCTTCTGTCTTCCCTATACAAACTTTGCATTGTTTGCCTTCTCTCTGGTTCCATGAAGCTTGCTTTTGTGCCTGATAGTGGCACAACTTCAAGAGGAGGAATGCGGAGGCTATCTGACCTGTCTGTCCTTTTCTAAACCCTCTCTGTAGAGTAAATTACTGTCCTAGCAAGAGGCAAATGTGGATTTGTCAACTAGTATAATGTTTTCACTAGCAAAAAAGATAAGCAAGATTCAGAGATCAATTTAATGCAAAGTTTTATTTGCTGTGCTTTATCTTTAGAATCCCAACAAGTCATGCTGTCACCAAAATATGAAGCTTTACAGTATTTTCAATTAAGAGCAATATTTTCTCAGATAATTTGAAAATATTGGTTAGAGGTTGCTTTGAAGATAACAGTCTTAAAGAAGAATAGTGATTCCAAAGTTATGTTGCTTTTTTGGTTGTAGACTCCCCACATCTTCTGTGGATTTCCATGAATTTTTCATGGACTACAGCTCCCTCTTACCATTAGAATTTCAGGTGCAAATGGAGTATTTTCCATGGACCTGCTACAAGCCATGCACTACAGACTCAATCCATGGACTGCAAGTTAGCATTTGGCATTGTACTAAAGCTCCCAGTCTGTTCTGCAGTGGGGGCCAAGCTTCATGGAAAATCCTCCCTCATGCTTGTGTCTACATATTTGCCATCCTATTAAAGATATATTGCTATTTTTAGTAGAACATAATTTAAAATGAGATACAAAATATATATTAAAAAAATTGTAAAATTCTAAAGCTGCATTGTCAGCAGTGAAAGTATTTCTGATATTTGAATTATCTTTTAATTCTTATTATATATTTTCCAATCTTCCAGAAAACCTTAGTGTTGTTTTAACTGCCTTTTCAATTGAAATGGTCTTTTAATTGGCTGGAAATATACCCTAAGTTTGATTCTGTTCCAAACACTTGTTCAGCAAAACAATTGATGATTACCCATTTCTGGAACTGAGCTTACTACAAGAAAAACATCAGTGAACCCTCTGTGGAATTTTTCAAGATTTTTGGAGAGGAAATGCAATATCCTCTTTGTAGTACAGAGTGAGCAGATATTCTAGTCCCAGATTTGTTACTAACTTTGCAGTGTAACTTTGGACAAGTCACTAAATTTTTGCTTCCCGTTTTTTTGCTTTGTAAAAGAAGCTAATATTAACGTGCCATCAAATATTTTAACAAGTTTGAGTGAATGCTTGCAAAGTACTCTGAGAAAGTCAGATGGAAAATGTTATGGCAGTCCATGCCTCTGCTAGCCAAAGAGGATATTTACAGTAGATTCTTATTCTATGTAGCAAAATAAAAATGTTGAAGTGTATAGCCAGATGAGACCAAGATGGATCTAAAATTAAATGCAGGAGAATTTTTTTTTACCTTTCAACAGAAATTATATAACCACTCTTAGGTTATAAATAGTCCTTTGTTTTCCTTCTCTTTGTCTAACACTCAGAAGAAACACAGGGTTAGTTGTTTGTTATGAAGATACAGTGCAATGCTTTAAAGTGGAAACAATTGTGCACTGTTCTTTATTCATGCAGTTCCTATAACATTTGTAAGTACCATTTGTTGCATTGCTTAGCACTTTTTTTATCTTCAAAAAGCTACAGAAATAAAGTTTCTAGTTTTGGAAATTACAACAGCAGAAGAAAACAAAAACACACACCAGTCCATTTCAAGCCTGAATGTTTCTTTCTTCTTTCCTGGTTTGATTTGTGACTGAAGAACAAAAAAGACAGTCCCAAACTCTTGTCAAACTGACACATAAACACTCATATATTATTTCCTATTTTTATTATTAATCCTAAGAAATAAGACATTAAATGTGTCCCCCTTTAAATTAAAGTATTTATATTAGCATTAAGGAAAACAATACTGAATTCTTCACAGAATGATGTGTGTGTTTACAAATATTTCCTTCAACAACCAATAAGTGCTTAACTAGTAGCAGTTTAATTTCATGTTAAAAAAAAAAAAAAGCTTTAACAAACAGAAACGACCTGAAAATTTAGTCTGAAGTCAAGTAATTGGCATCAGTCAGAAAGCAGAATTATAAGAATATCACCTTTAGCTTACTTTTTTTTTCTTCTCATGATTTCTCTCGTGTTCGTATTATGGAAATAATATCCTTGACCTTTAAATATATGTGACACAAATGGCTTTATTAGACACTGCACTTTGTTTCATTTAAATTTTTAATCACCTTTCGAACCCATTCATTTGCTCTATAACTTTCCACTGAGAGCAAGTGTGATTCTCTACAGTAAATTGGAATAAATTGGCTGCAGCAAAGAATACATGATTAGGCTTCAGAAATAAAAGGAATCACAGTTTAAAAACCAGGTACAGTGCAGTACTGTCCAATCTCTGCAGGTTATTTAGAAATGCACTGGAGACTGGTCAAGCCTTGACTCCTTCAGAACTGAGGCCAAAGGTGACCAGTCCTGAAGTGACACTTCAGCTTAACTCCCATTTCCCACAGCTGTGCTGAGAAAACCTGTCATATTACATGTAATCCAACCCTCCGACTTTAAGCAAATTAAACACTTGGGATCAAACACACATATAATGTAAAATTATGAATTTAACAGATTATACCAAAGATTGGCTTTTTTCTCAGTGTTATGTTATTTGATGGCTCTTTTGTGTAGTGATTTGTGGATTTATGTAACAGTTTAGTGGTCCTGATGACTTCACTCTATTAAGTCTGAAAATCTTTCTCCATTCTCTATTTCAAATGTCTGTAGTGATTTAATGTAACTAATCCAACTTACTGAGGAAAGAAAGTTCTCTCTCCATGACAACTGACTGCATTTTGGGTTTCTTTGCTGAAGCTGTCAACGGGAGACCAACTAATGCCAAGTTTGATACCATTTCTATAAAGTAGGCACTTGTCTACAAGGAGCTGGATTGGGGCCACTTACCTAAAGTTATTCTAGGGCAGGAATTTATCTTTAGATGCTACTGCTGATGCCAGATTTTTATTAGCAATCTTCTAATTAGTAAGACCTGCTCTTGAAATAAAAATAAAATTACTGACTCCAGAAGGTTTCCTGTAAATAAAGCCTGTGATGCAAAGCTCTTATAAGCTGAAGTTATTATATTCATCATGTAGTAAAAAGTATAGCCAAGCATAAGCATGCCATACTTCAGGTGTTGTTAAGAGCAGAGATGCCTGTAGAAACATTAGCAGTTCTCTCTCTTCCTGAGTGATTACCTCAGCATAGCAGAGGAACAATAAACAGGCCTTAAGCTTCTGCTGAAAACAGCAATAATTGCTAAGGAAAAGGGGAATTCTAAGATGAGGATTCCCCTAGCTGAACTCCGTTCTTGCTTCTCTCAGAGATTTACTGTGTGACCTCAAGTTAGCTATTTCACAACCTTGTGCCTATTATCCTGTGTGTAAACTTAATACATTCATACTGCTCTACCTTGGAGAAAGACGTGGACCTCGACTTGCTTGTGTTTGAAGGGAAACTGAGATTATTGCATTAACGGTGCCATATGTTGTGAACTTGTGAGTGAGCACTAGGACATGTGGTGTGGACACGGTCCCAAAGCAGCATTTGTGAAGATAAATGTTATCTGCATGAATGGCAATACAAAGCAACAACTGTGGGCAGTAAATTACATTCCAGCCTACTGTTCTGGGGTTTGCAAGTGCTTGGGCTCCTGTGTAACTCTAATCAGGTGGAGAGAGCATGTCCCAAAGCACAATGCTGTCGTCACTGCCACACATTCATGTCCTCCAGCCTGCACTCTGCCTTCCTGTCCTTCGCCCTACTACCTGCAGGTATTATTTTGTACGCATTGAGGCCCGAGTTTTGCAGCCTCGTGGCCATTCCAGGCCCGGCGACTGAGGCACCAGGAGCCCCTCGGAGCGCCCGTGCGGAGGGGCGGCAGGCGCAGCCCCCCCCGCGCCCCCTCGGCCCCGCAGCACATTGGCTGCGGCGGCGGCCGCCCCGCCGGGGGTGCCCCGCGCCGGGCACTGCCTCTGACCTTCCCTTCCCTTCCCTTCCTTCCCCGGCGCTGTCAGAGCGGATCCGCGGGCGCGGCGCTGCGATGGAGCGGCGAGCGGCAGCGGCGGCCGCCAGGAGGGGAGAAAGAGGAGGAGGAGGAGGAAGGGAGAGATTAGCGCGGTGCCGGCTGGCGCAGAGACGCGGCTGAGCGCTCCAGCGGGAGCCCGGGGCCCTGCGGACCGTGCGAGAGGCAGAGGCGGAAGGAGCGGACATGCGGCCGCTCTCCCCGCGTTGCTGAAGCTCCCGGTGACCCGCCCGGGGGAGGGAGGCCGGGAAGGTCCGTCCTTCTCACTGCTCTGCGGGCACAAAGGGTGCCTGTGCAGTCCCCTCCTCTTGGTTTTACCCAGCCCCGGAGCAGGAGCCGCCGCCGCCCCCTATCCCTTCCTGCGCTCTTCCCACCATGAGCGGGGCTGTTTTCACCTTATAAAGATGGCGGTGTGGGATCGCTGCAACCTTTAGACTAATGACTGTCAGAAACATCGCCTCCATCTGTAATATGGTGAGTGCTGGCGGGGGCCGGGCGGCACGGCAGCCCCGAGGGGGCTGACCGAGGGCGACTGCCCCAGGAGCGCAGCCAAACGGAGGGACCCTGTCCCTTGCCCCCGTGGCGGGGGAGCCGGACAGGCTGCGCCGGGACGTGCCTGGGGTGGAGTTGGCCGATGGAGAGTGACGATGTCCAGAGGACTTTTCCCGGCGCAAGCCCGGGCGTGGGCCGGGGAGGGACGGAGATGCAGAGCCGGTGCGGGGTCGCCTGGAGCGGGATGCGTTGCAGACGGAGCTATGGCCCACCCTCTCTTCTCCTGCACTTCCTCCTGCCTTTCCTCCTGCCTTAATAATCCTGCGAAAGGACCCAAGTTCGGTTGGGAATCCACATTAAATCAGCGACCCCGTTTAACACTCTCAGGCAGGCACCCTATGGTCTCATGGGTGAGAGCTCCCCAGGTTACACAAAAAACGAATAACACCCCTTTGGATCCAAATGCTCTGGATCTATTCTAGAAAGTCTTAGCTTAAGAGCTGACAGGGTTTAACTTGCACTGCATGCCACTCAAAGAGGACTGCTGTTTGTTAAGTACTCTTCAATCACTTAGCTTTCTCTAAAGCAGACTAGGCAATTAGGAAAGAATAAGGAAACATTAACATTTTTGTTTGTTATGTTCAGACTTTTGTACTTTCCATCCCTTGAAAGGATGCTTTCTGCACTGTGCTTGGGTTTCATTTTAATCCTAACAAACTTTGAGCATCTGGTTGGGTTTAGGTTTTTGAAAATTCTTGATGGGAAGTGGAGGAGCTCAAACTTTGTTAAAGGTTTATTACTACAGTAAAACAGTAGCAAACTCACGAAAAAACTGGTTGTGTGCGAGCACCCCAATGCAAACAGAAGAGAAGCCTGTTTCTGTACATTTTTTTGTTTTAGTCTGTATTTTTCCCCCTTATTTCCAGGTTCTTCAAGAGCAGCTACACGCAGTTGCCAGCTTCCCTCCATGTGGTGCCCCAGCATGCCTTGTGCTGGTGATGCCACACATAGCATTCATCTGCCCTGGAGAATGGAGCCTACCTCTAGGGTAAGGCAACAGGCACAGCCCCAGAGGCCTGGCTCCTGCGGGGTCAGCAGCAGTGGTCTGGGGGAGGGAGTGCAGATTGTA